TCATCAGACTTCTCACCAGAACCTGCACAAGCAAGAAGACAGTGAGTTGAAATATTCAGAGTTTTGACAGAAAAAAAAATACACCAACCTAGAATTTTGTTCCCTGCAAAATTATCTTTTAAAAGTAAAACAGAAATAAAGACTCCCTCAGATAAACAAAAACTGAGAGAATTTGTCACCAGTAGACCTGCCTTGCAAGAAATGTGAAAAGAAGTTCTTCAGACAGAAGGAAAAGGATAAAGGTCAGAAACTCAGATCTACATAAAGAAAGAAAGTCAGAGAAGGAACAGATGAAAACTCAGATTGTCCTTGGAAGCCCTTACAGTTGACAGTGTTCAATGTTACCTGAACCCCATGCTCCTGAGAAACAGTGAAGATTAAGAAATCTCCCACCCTCTGTATTCTGGGAAACATCTTACTGCAAAGAACTCCTCTTCACCAAATGACTAGATAAGACTCAACAGGAGCCCCCCTCAACTATCTAGCACAAGGCCAGATGCAGAGCCTCCAAATTCCCATTCTTTGCCTCATAAATGAACCATTTGGTCCCCACTGATAAACGGGAACAAAATGCATGTTAATCAAACTTTGGTTAAGCTTCCCTCCTGCCCCAGGTGCCTGAACTTCGGGCCACCCTCAGCCTGAGCCAGCAGGCGGCCCCTCCTGAGAACAGGCTGGCCTGGAGTGAAACGTTCTCTGCTCTACATCAGATCATGCCCCCTCTCACCCCACTCCCCACACCTGGGTCCTTCTAGCCTTGTTTAATCCTCTCCAGAAAAGGAAACCCCTTTTTGCCTATTTCTGGAGACACTTGCAGATCTTATGGTCATGACATTGTCCCTTTTTCCATAGTCCCCCTCCCCCATTGCAATAGGCTTCCTGCTCTGCACCCCACCCCCAACTCCTTGCAATAATCCTTTTGAATACAGTCTCTCCTTACTAAGTCAAGATTTGCTTCTTATTTGACACTAAATTTGGCTTTCCGCTTTGGACGGGCTCCACGTGACAGCCTGCCAAGTTCACACTCCCATCTCACAGAGATCAGCTCTAGTCACCGTCCAGTCTGAGCAAGTTTCCACAAGGGCTTCCTCTGCCTTTCTGTGCTCTCAGCGCCAAGGGCTTTTACTGCCTTGCTCTTCAGAAAAGATGGATCTCTGTATTTGTGGCTGCTGGATCTGTCTGTATGTGCTTCTCTGTCTGAAAACATTTTTTTCTGCTTTCTGAATAAAGGATTCCCTTTCTGTTTCTTAGGTAAACATTGGATTTTTTTTTTTTTTTTGCATAGAGGCACACTACAATTTTACAATTAACCTTGCCTAGCATAGGGCCTCCTGACAATAGTTTTAGATGGAGAATTAGAGTAGCATTTGTCTTAGGGAAAAAAAGGCTGTATATTTTGTATAGAACTGAACATTTTGAAGTGATTCAAAGGACAGTTTTTGGAAGCTAGAGTTTTGCTGATTTTATTGCCAGAGCTGTGATGAAATTGGTTTACTCTATGTTCCAATTACATAATATTCTGTAATTTTGAATTGTCTAAAGCAGTTTTAAAATAACCTATGTTTTAAAGTTGCTAGGGGAAACTAGACAGCACATCCATGTTTATTTAGGCATTCAGATTGTTTTGTTGAATGCTTCCCATTTGCAAGATTCTAGGCCCAAGAGGAGTGAACAAATCAGACATGGTCCCCCTCAAGGAGTTCACTTTTTCACAAGAGAGATGGATACTAAATAACTAATTAACATTTTTTTTAAAAATTGCAAATATGAAAAGTCCTGCCAAGGAGAACTAATCTGCCAAACGGTAAGGAACTGAGTAGGGTAGGGAGGGCTGGGTATGAATAGGGTCTCAAAGAATCCAGGGAAAATTTAGGGAGACAATCTTCTAAGAAACAACAAAGAAAACTGATCAGTGGATAAGTGAGAGATTGGTACCCAGTGCCCAAGGGTTCCACCTGTACTTTAAGTGTAGGTATAAATCCATGAGCCACTAGCACAGTATTTCGCACAAACCAGGCGCTCAATAATTGTGCCCTGAATAAATGATGCTTCATTAACACATTACAGGATACATCTCAAATTCTGAAAAGTTGGCAGAAAAGGTTGAGGATTAGTAATTTAAGAATGAATTAAAAATTAAGAATGAGTAATTTTAAGAATGAGGAGGAAAGATATATTCAGACACCTTGGTAGTATTTTTCACATTAGAAGATTGTTCTTCAGAATAATCTGGTTTTGAATGATCTGTTATTTATATTTGGTTATTGTATTTATTCAAAGAGGAACTGCGGAAACACTTTTATTGGGAGAAGGGAATGGAGGATGGGAGGCAACTGGAAATTTAAACAGTGTAAAATCTATGTACTCGCTGTACTAAATAGTGCAAAGATTTTCTTCCAAAGTCTTGTCTTTTATTTACACAAATATATTAACCCATTCATTTATACCAGTGTTTCTCATACTGTGGTTGATGGAATGCTTACAAGAAAATCATGTGGGGTGCTTGTTAAAAATGGAGATTCTGGGGCCCAAGTACTGTATAAAATTTCCCGGAATAAGACACAGGATTTTGTATTTAAAGTAAATCTCCAGGTGGTACAACCATTGCTCCACAGTCTCTTACTTTTATGTCTTACATGATTATAAAAAAAAAAGTATTTGCTCTTGAACATATTTAGATTTCAATCCATCTTAAATTTATTTTTGTTCCTGTTATGATGCAAAGATCTAAATTAACTGTACTTTACTTTTAATGTCTTTATTTTCTTTATGACAGCAGCCTTCATTAATAAACCATTCTTTTTCCACTAAATTAAACCATCATCCTTATCATACATCATTTTGCAGAGTTTCTCACATTCCTGTACGTTTTAAAAGAAACATCCCTTTATTGTTTTTCTAAAATATCATATACTTATTATAAAGAATTCAGGACATGCAGAAAAATACTAGGGAAAAGTTTTTTAAAAATGCAACCTTTGGGGCCGGCCCCACGGCCAAGTGGTTAAGTTCGTGTGCTCCACTTCGGCAGCCCCGGGTTTTGCCCGTTCGGATCTTGGGCATGGACCTCCCACCACTTGTCAAACCACGCTGAGGCAGCGTCCCACATAGAAGAACTAGAAGGACCTACAACCAGGATATACATCAGAGGAAAACAAAAATCCAAGCTGAAAGTAATTTGAGTGACCTTATTTGAAAATAGTGTTTGTAAATGTAATTAAGTTGAGGTCATACTGGATTGGGGGGAGTCCTAATTCAATCATTGGTGTCCCTCTAAGAAGAGGACACACGCACAGTGAATGAGATGTGAAGACAGAGACACAGACGGGAGCTGAAGAATGCTGAGGATTGCCAGCAACCACCAGAAGTTGAGAGTGGCACGGAACAGATTCTTGCTCAGAACCTCCAAAAGAACCAACCTTGCTGATGTCTTGATTTTGGACTTCTGAACCCCAGAACTGTAAGCAAGTAAGTTTCTGTTGTTTCATGCCACCAGTTTGCAGTGCTCTAGGAAACCAACATGCCAACTAATCAGAAATAACTATCTTTAACATTAGATGGGCATCCTTTCAGGTATGTGTGTGTGTATGTGTGTGTGTGTATGTGTGTGTGTGTACATATATTAGATTGACAGACATATTTCTAGTATAATGGGGTAATTCTATACATTCTACAGTATTAAATTTTTTTACTTGAATTTATCTGAAGAAAAATAATAGATCTATCCTTCTATTCCACTGATGATTTCCTATGTCTGTGCTAACACCTTGGTGATTAGTTTATTTTAATCTTTTATAGAAAATCCCTTACTACTCTTGTTTTTCAAGGGTTTCCTTGAAAATTAATATCCTGATAAGATGTTATCTTCCATATGAAATTTTAAATTATTTAGTTAGTTCTAACACATTCCCAAGAGAATTTGGTGACCCTGATGCTAATTGTGCTAATTTTCTAATTTGACTTGGGAAGAACTGGCCTATTTTTGGTACTGACTTCTCATCCAAAGATACAGAATGTTTTTCATTTGCTCAGGCCTTTTTTCTGCCTCTCAGCAAAGGTTGAGGGATTCCCTTATCAGGACTTTGTAACTTGTTAAAGTTTATTCCTAAGTATTTTATAGTTTTTGTTGTCATTGTGGACAAAATCTTTTTAATACTTCACTTTTAATAGGTTATTGCTTGTTCAAAGGGAAAATTTCTAATTTTCTTCTACTTCCCTCTCTTAAGTCTTTTGCTGAACTCAGTTTTAAAAATTGAGGCACCGAGCTTTTCAAGGTTTCCTATCATCTGTGAATAGTAATGTCGCCCCTTTCTGCGGCGCGATAGTCACACTGTGGTATCACATAGGAACATAGCTTTCCTGGCTAGGGCTTAGTGGGGTTTACTGTTTATGTGCAAGGGCTTTGCACCATAGGTACACAGCCCTGCTCTACCACGTGCTAGCTGTGTGACCCGGGCAACTTCTTCACCCCCCGGACCTCAGCGTCCCCATCCTAAAAACGAGAACCGAACGCGTTAACAAATGCAAAGCATGTAGAACAATGCCTGGCCCATGAAGCCCTGCATTAAACACTGGCTTCCACTGATCAAAGCCGGCTGCACACTTTATCTCCTGTAAGTCTCCCAACCACCTCGCGCAGTTATCTCCATTGCACAAATGAGGAAGCTCCGCTCAGGGAGGCAAGTGATCTGCCCAGGGTCACTCTGACACAATTCGGGGCTACCTGACAAAACCAGCGCCTCGAAAATAATGCAGTCAGTTCGTGCCGAGGCATGACTTCATTCGCACCCAAACGTGGACAGGTTCATCCTTACGATGTTGGCAATTTACAGAAAGCAAAAGCGCCTAAAGCACACGAGAAGGACTCTGGCTCTCGCGCGCCAGGCGGCGGCGTCGCGGGAGCTGGCGGAAGAAGCCGAGCGCGCTCGGAAACGTTCGCCTCGCCTTCGGTAACAATCGGCAAGGGGCGGGGCTCGCGCGACGGCGCGTTCAGCGCGGGGCATTGTGGGAAGGGCGGCCGGTGCAGCCGCGGCTGCCATCTTAGCAACTCCTGCTGTTGCGGCCTTGTCGTTGGAGGCGGCCTTCGTGGCGGCCGTCGACCTCAGGGAGCAGTAGAAAGTCAGCTGGCTGACAGCCGTCCTGTCCCCGGCCTCGACAGGACGGCCAGCCCGCGTCCGGAGGCGGAGGCGAGGGCAGCTGGGCGCGTGAGGGGCCCGAGGCCAGCGGTTAGTCACAGCGTCGCCCGGAAGGATGGGCCGGTCTCGGAGCCGGAGCTCGTCCCGCTCCAAGCACACCAAGAGCAGCAAACACAACAAGAAGCGGAGCCGGTCCCGGTCGCGGTCCCGGGACAAGGAGCGTGTGCGCAAGCGCTCCAAATCCCGGGAAAGTAAGCGGAACCGGCGGCGGGAGTCGCGGTCCCGCTCGCGCTCCACCAACACGGCCGTGTCCCGGCGCGAGCGGGACCGGGAGCGCGCCTCGTCTCCGCCCGACCGCATCGACATCTTCGGGCGCACGGTGAGCAAGCGCAGCAGCCTGGACGAGAAGCAGAAGCGAGAGGAGGAGGAGAAGAAAGCCGAGTTCGAGCGGCAGCGAAAAATGTGAGCGCCCGCGGGGGGAGGGGCAGGGCGATGGGAGGTGGCGGGGCTCGGGTGGCGAGTGGGAGACGGGGGGCTGGGGAGTGGGAGACGGGGGGCAGTGGGAGAAGGCGGAGCTCGAGGCGGGGAGAGAGGGGGCTCGGGCTTTGGGGGCCGCGAGAAGGGGAGTTGGAGGGGTCGCAGGAGCCGGCCCGAGAGGCTGCAGCCCTGGCACGTGGAAAGTCTGGGGCAGGACAGTCCCATGAGCTGGCTGGGAAGGTAAAATAGCGGGGCTCCTGCAGGAAAGGCCTAGAGCCGAGAAAGCGATTTTGGCGCGAGAGAGGAGGAGAATGCCGGAAGCAGGGGGTGGAGTTCCGAGCGGGGTTGGGCTGCGTCGGTCCGAGCTATCGGCTATGCTGAAGATGTGGATGGTGAGCGTTTGCTGGCCCGCTGGAGAAGAGCAGAAAGCAGTTAAGCCGTGGGGTGCAAATCGCAGCTGGCTAGAGCGCTGGAGTATTGCGGCTTAAATTAGGGACAGGGCTTCTCGGGAGTAAGACGCGTTAGGTGTCCAACAGTACACCCCAGAAAAATGCGTTTTACTTTGGCGTATTTGCCTTGTTAAAGATGTCGCCATCACGTTTCTCGGGACTACTCGGTTTTTGTTTCTGTTGGGTTTTGAGGTGTAAAAACGAAATGCGTAAACATTAAGTGAACAGTACGATGAATTTTGACGTTTGAATTCAACTGCATAACTGCCATGCTAATCAGAGCCTATTCTCTTTGTGCTTTTTATTAATTTTGGTTTACATTTCTCCGTAGAAAACCGGTGCAATTCTGTTATTTGTTTCCCCTTGTAGTGTGCTTACTGTTTAGAAGGCACTTGACTATTTGCTTTTATTTTTGCATTGCTCACATACAGAACTTTTATGTAGGGAAAATCAGAGTCACAGTAAGGTTCCTAATTTGAAGTACCGTTTGGGTAAAATTTACTTCTGAAAAAGTGTCACTTCTCAAGTATCTTTGGATCTAAGAGTAGGTACAAATAATCCCAAGTTAGTGAACTTTTGGGTTTAAAATGTAGGGTGTTGTTTTGGTTTAAGGCCATGGTACTCTGATGCTCTGGATATTCATTTTCCAAAGCCGTGTTGAAAGCTAAGGTTAGACAGATGTGCTAACCCTCCCTGTTTAGCCAGCCACCTTCCTCACTTCTTCAGTGCATGTTTAGAAAGTGCTCGTGAGGCAGGAAAGTTAGTGAATTTAGAATTTTTCTGAGAGAAATTTCTGTGTACTGAATTGTCTAGGAGTTTTAAATTTTTCTACATTTGCATTTGTGTTATATAGGTTTTCCATCAGAGCTTGTTTCTAAAAGCAAAGTTATTAAGAGGTAGGGGAGCGGAGCACTAACTATAATATTACAGAGGAAGCAGTACCTGGAGAGCTATTTGGCTGCATTCCTTTAAAACATGCACCATGCTTTCATTTTTTCTTTACTTCTTAGAACTGTCAGTGATATACATGTATGTATTTAAAAACCAATTACAAGTAATTGTTTCACAACAAACGTTGATTATATAGAACCCAGTTTTTTGGTCTGGAACGAGATCCTTAACTGTAAAGATATGGCTCTCAAATAACTATCAACAGATGTACGTTTAAAAAATTACCTAGGACGTCTCTGAGATAATTTTCGCATGTGAAAATAAAGAAGACCTCTAAAGAGCAAAGAGTTGTTATTTCACTGAAAAGCTAAGACTCGTAGGAAAAGTGGAAGGAAACTTGGTATGCAGAGAGAAGCATTTAGCAAGCTACACATGAATAGCAGACAAGAAATCTAGGGATGAAATGAGAAAATAGAGCAGCTGTATAGTTCCAAGTTGATAGAAGAACCAAACTACCATTAACATTTATGAAGGGAGGAGGGGGCAGAGCTAGCAGCCACCTGGATACCATGCAGTAGACACTACTTAATATGGTCTAATGCCTTGGAAATAATGCGAAGGAAACAATGGAAAGACCTAGGTTTTGGAGCCTTGGGAATGGGCAGAAGTAGTTGTCTGTCTCCAACTCTGTGATGGTTAGTTCATTCATTCAATTAATATTTATTGAGGATTTATGTAAGATGATTGACCCCTCTCTAAGATCTTGATCTAGCTTGAAGACAGATAGGTAGTTAATAATGCAGTGTGGTGAATCCTGTGATGGTGATGTACCTGTAGAAAGGAAGCATTCTAGATGGGTAAACACATGAGATCTAGGAAGGAATGAGTGGCGGATAAAAATCCAAGACTGTCAGGCTAGGCATGGGAGGATGCATGTGACCAAAAGAGAGAGTCTCCTCCACCCCTGCCAAAATAAAGGGAGAGGGACAGAATGGTCTTCAAGTGGAGTACAAAGGTGAATGTTGACTGGAACAGAATGTTCTGTAAGTACTAAAGTCATGGAGTGACTGGAGAGGTAAATAGAAGGCTGGAAATCATGGGACGAATCTTGTATGCTGTATTAAAGAGCTTGGGTTTCATCTTAGATACAGGAAAGGTTTTAAGCAGGCAAATGGCATGGGGCTTTTTTTTTTTTTCTTCCCAAACAGATCACTGACTGTTGTATAGGATAGGAACTAATTACAATAAGTCTACAGAGGAGTAGTGAGGGAGTAGTTGTTGGAATGGAAAATGAGAAAGATTTAAGAAACATTTAGGGCAAATAGTTGGATGTGAAACTAAGAGAAAGAAAGCATTGATGTTGGCTTTCAAGTTTATATTGTGGCTATTGCATCTCAGCCACCAAATGTTTAACTACTGTGTGTCAGACACTGGTTAAAATGTCAGAAGTCTGATGGATAGAGAAGAGGGAAAAATCAAGGGGAGTTTCCTCTTGGCACTTGGGCTGTGGGCACTAATTTTTGGATATCGTGAGTTTATCCAAGGTTGATACAGGGGAGTGAAGCCTGGGGGAAACCTTAAGAGTAGATAGAATGACCCAAGAAGAGTATGGAGGGAGAAGAGCAATTAGTTCATGGCCTGAAAGAACCTAAGGGGGTCTTTGTATTTACAGTTGGACAGAGGACGACAAGTACGTGGTGGAAGCAAAGTAAGGGGTACCAGAAGAATGCACAGTGTCTAGAGGTCCAATGTGAAATGGAGAGAGACAGGAAAATTAGAATCTACTGTTGGGCTTAACCAGTTAGAAAGTCTGGTAAGATTGGAAACGAGGTTGCCTTGCCATTTACAGTTCTGAGGCCTTGAATAAATTGCCTACCCGTGAGTTTGATTTCTTATCTGTGAAATGGAGGTAACTGTCTTGCTTATTGTGAAGATTAGAAGCAGTGCATTAAAGTATCTGGACTGTGCTTGGCATATAATGGACCTCAATAAATAATGTTTTTAACATAGTTTATATACATCCAGATTGAACTTGGTGAATTTAAGAAGTGATCTTACAATGTAGTAAAAGGCAGACCTTAAAAAATTTTTTTCTTCCGGCCAGCCCTGTGGCTGACTGGTCGAGTTCACGTGCTCCACTTTGGTGGCCCAGGGTTTCCCTGGTTCGGATCCTTGGCGCGGACATGGCACCATCATCAGGCCACGCTGAGGCGGTGTCCCACATGCCACAACTAGAAGGACCCACAACTAAAATATACAACTATGTACTGGGGGGATTTGGGGAGAAAAAGCAGAAAAAAAGAAAAGATTGGCAATAGTTGTTAGCTCAGGTGCAAATCTTAAAAAAAATTGTGGGGCCAGCCAGTGGCTCAGCGGTTAAGTGTGCACGTTCTGCTTTGCTGGCCCGGGGTTCGCAGGTTCGGGTCCCGGGTGCGGACATGGCGCCACATGGCAAGCCATGCTGTGGTAGGCGTCCCACATATAAAGTAGAGGAAGATGGACACAAATGTTAGCTCAGGGCCAGCCTTCCTCCGCAAAAAGAGGAGGATTGGCAGCAGATGTTAGCTCGGGGCTAATCTTCCTCAAAAAAAATATTTTTTTTCTCATTTTTGACTAGCTAATTCACGGTTCAAAATTCAGATCAGTTGTTTTCTGTCTCCTCCCTGTGTCCCAGCCATTCAGTTTTTTTCTCTCTCTTCCCTCCCCTGCACCCTTATTATCATTTTCATATGTATTCTTTTGAGATGCTTTATGTTTGTTTATTAGCTGTTGAAAAAATGAGCAACTGAAAATGACTTGGAGTAAATCAGGGAAAGGTCAACGGCGTAGTAACTTGCTATAGCCTGTGGTATCAAGGTTGAAACATACTTAAGCGTTCAACTGCATGACAGATCAAGAGCCTTCTGAATTAGAGTATCTAAACCAGCTACAATCTATATGAGTGATTCTTAGAAGAATGAAAAGCTCATTGTGAGAGCAAAGAGCAGCTTTTATGAACAAATTCAGTATATGGAACTGTGTATTTCAGGGAGAGGAGGTTAGGGTTTTGAGACAACATTAGGGCATAAAATCTAGCTGAGGATAAGAATTTCATGAGTTTTTAAAATAGTCATTTTGGTGCTTAAATCTTTGTGCATGGCTTTGCCTCTCACACTGGTCCTGGAGAATCAGTGTAGGGTAGTAGACAACTTAAGGTCATTAGCTTTGGAGTCTACCTAGGTTAATTCACCTCTCAGCAACATGGAGTGAGCCAGAGCCCAGCTATAAACTGCTTAGCCACAGAAATGCAAATGATGACGTGGTGTATGAAGCTCTTGGCGCAATATTTGGTACCTCTTCAGTACTGTACTGAGTAAATGCCGTTTGCTAATAATATGAAGTGATTCCTGGAAGTAAGCTCCTGGGGTTGACTTCATACATTTTGAAGACATTTAAAAATAATAGTGCCAGTTGCTCTGTACAAAGTGATACTCATTTAATAGTGCTGTATTGCTGGGCTCTTGCTGTTTTGTTTTAATAGTTGCCATTTTAGAGTTGATTGTGACTAGTGTCACAAGCAAATAGCTGAGAGCATGGAGAAAATGGGGACCTAATGTTATACCATTTCCATTGAAAAACTTGAAGATTTTGATTCTACCCTTTCATCAGTGGCACAGTTTCTTGGCAAGCGAATGGATTCAGCAGAAGAGCCTGAGGAAAAGATTAGAGATCAAAGAACATCAAGAGAGTGGTACCTCCTATGGCAAAAGTTTTAAGGAATGGATAGGCAGTGATATTAGATGATACATCTTTTGTAAGATATTAATGACCAAAAGTGTTTGTGGTTTTATTTTTGTTTTCAGTAAAGTTTCAGTGCCTTTTATGAAAGTTAGCCTAACAGCTGCTTTATCATTGATTCTGATAATGAATTTATCATCAATAAAGATGAACTCATGCTTAATTCGGTTGTACAGGTGCCCATTGGTTTTCTGAATTCAGTGTGTGTGGGGAGGGGAATTAAAGCAATATTGGGCTTTGACGTTTTCAACACTGGATCTAAAAACTGATTTTAAAATTCTTTCTGATTACCAAGGTAGCAGTTTTAACCTGACCAAGAATAATAGCAACAACAGAAATTATATTCTTGATAATACTTGTAGGGGAACGGTTCTCCTGTGGCGCCCTCACCATGCCTGTTTCCACGTAGGACACAGCTGCTGTGGCGCCCTCACCATGCCTGTCTCCACGTAGGACACAGCAGCAAGGCTTAATTACAGTTGTGGTGGGATGCCCTGTGGTTCCTCCAGGAACAAAGGGAGATAAGCAGCCTTGTGAAAAACTCTGCTAGGCCATTTTTCATCCTTCCGGTTTCAGTTGAGCTTGGGACTTTCCACTTGCTCTCTCCTTCGGGCTACAAAACTACTGAGCTGTAGTTAGAATTGGTTCCTTAGCCGCAGAGCAGCCCACCACCTGTGCCTGCACTGCCCGTCCCTGGCCCAGCTGGTTTGGTGTCCATCAGTGGGAGCAGAGAGCAGAGTGGGAGCTCATACCATGTGGATCTGACATTTGTTGTAAGTAATAAACTGAGTTTATTTACGCTCGTTTTCTGCTTACTGACCAAATCTATGGAAATGTGGCCCTATTAGTCATTGTGCTATAACTATTAGGGACTGCTTGACAAAAACCTGAACATGTATCAAGTCTCTTCCACCTTTCCCAAATCCCTGTTAGTTTGGAACTGTTTCTATTGTTAAGCTAACCTAAAGCTTTATCCTATTCTTTTCCCTCTTTTTTACTTTGTGTGGAAAGTTTTAATTGGAACTGTTCACATAGTCCTTTTAATAGTTGAATGGTACCATTTTTGAAATTTTAAAATAAAGTTTCTTTTTAGGTTTCTAATTTCATAAGAACCAACTAGCAAAAGTGTGTGTGTGGGTGTATATACTTTTGAAACTTTGTATTATGAAAACTTTCCAATGTATGCAAAAACAGAGAGATTGTTATAATCCTAATATTCCCATCATCCACGTTCAGCAATTGTCAACCTTACTTGTTTTCTCTCATTTCTTTCTCTTTGGATGAACTAGAGAAACAAAATTTTTGTATTGGAGGTATAATTTCCATTGAAATTGCTACCTGATTTTCTTTAGATATCCGTGGCAATTCATTTTTAGTGTTGAGGTAGGTATCTCTTCTCTTTTACTGAGCTGCTTATAGATAGAAGCTTATTGAAACTACCATAATACTAAATGTTATTGGAAGTTAAAAAAGAAAAGCAGTGTATTTAGAATATGTGTGTTAGACTTTCATATCTTTTTTTTTTTTTAAATAAAAGACATCAATAATTTTGTGTTGGGGAGGAGATAGGTATGAAGCAACAGAGTCTTCAGAATGGGTATTGCAAATATCTAGAACCTAAAAGAAATTATGCTTTCTCAAGTAGCTACTACCTCCTTAACAGAAAAATGTAGAGATTATAAATGCAGAAACTGAAATGCATCAGAATGTTAAAGATACATTGGTGTTAGTTATGGTAGCACTGTGAATAAGTCACAGGAGTTGAGAATGAAAGCACTTGAGTGAGAATTGAGTCACTCCCTAAAATAGAGTTGAATTGAAGTGGATTGGGGTGTTTAAAGATCACTTAAAAGCTATAAAGTCTTTACTAAACAGAAAAATTAAATGACTGTCTGACACGTATATATGAGTCATCAAAAGATATAAAGGATACAGGTTGTATTTAATTTTGTGGATTGTGAGAAAGTTGAAGCATTAATAAATTCGCCTCTTAGGATTTAGATACACTTCTCAAGCCTCTGAATTCATTCATTCAACACAAATTATTATCTCAAATAGTGTTGTTCAATAAAAATATGTGAGCCAGCGATGTAATTAAAAATTTTCTAGTAGCAACATTAAAAAGAACCTAGTGAAATTAATTTAATGTAGTCCCAATCTATCTCAAAATGTTATCATTTTAACATATAATCAAATAAAAATATTTAAAATTTTTAATGTATTTTCTTCATACTAATCTTCAGTTCAGACTAGACACATGTGACTAGCAGCTATCATATTGAATATCAGTGGTGTAAAATGACTGGGGTTTCCACTCTAGTGCCTTGATAAATATCAGTATTTTCACAGAATTTCACTTTGAGTAAATAATCTGGTTTATAATATCTAAATGGAATTAAAATAATTAAAACAGTATCATGCTTCATTGAACTTTTTAATAGAACTGATAATAAAAATATTTCCTTCCACTTTGCCATCTCTAGAAGAGCTTTTAATTGAAAATCAGTTAACAAAAGAAAGAAGGTACCGTAAAGGGTATAAAATTCAGAACCTCAATAAGTTGGTCTGTATTTTCACTAAAAGCTACACTACTATTGCCTTAGCAGTCTGAATCTGTATTTATTCTGACTTTGCTTGGCGGGGTGTGGGGGAGAAGGGATTTAGCTGGTCTAAACTGCTTGCTATGTAATAGTTTCTCCTGACTTCTCTGTAACTCAGCTCTTAGGCGAAGTGGAATGGCAGATGAGTACATCTCTCTATTTACCAGCTTGTTCTTTCATTATAAAGTTGATAGCAAAAGTGGATTTCCTGTTTCATATTTATAGTTCCTAAAGTAAAACTAATGAATTAGGCTCTTTGTATGTACTAGTCTTTTTGTATTTAGAAAGTGATAGGAAAAAAAACACATGGTTTTATATTTATTTGAATGTCTGTTTTATATTTATTTGAATTTCTGTATCACTTAACATCTTGGTATCTGTCATTTACTTGAATGTTACGTTAAAATGAATAGTAAACTCTTAGAAATATATAATCAGGCTTAGTGTTTACAGGCTTTTAACTAGTTTTATTTCGATTCTTAGGTTTATTTCTTGTATTATCTAAGTCATTTTTTCCACTTTGTTTGCTAGTCGGCAGCAGGAAATAGAAGAAAAACTCATCGAAGAAGAAACAGCACGAAGAGTAGAAGAATTGGTGGCAAAAAGAGTAGAAGAAGAATTAGAGAAAAGGAAGGATGAAATTGAACGAGAAGTTCTCCGAAGGGTGGAGGAAGCCAAGCGCATCATGGAAAAGCAGTTGCTCGAAGAACTCGAGCGACAGAGACAAGCTGAGCTTGCAGCACAAAAAGCCAGAGAGGTAACGCTCGGTCGTTTGGAAAGTAGAGACAGTCCATGGCAAAACTTTCAGTGTTGGGTGTGCCTCCTGCTCAGTTCAGAAAGAGATGGAATACAGACTAATTCCTTTCTCATCTAAACTTAACATTGCTGCGAAAGTTAATCTTTTAGCCTATTCAGAAGTGCTGACTGACATTTAAAAGTTATTTTCATAAAACGTATTCAAGGATACTTTTTGATTTAACGGAACTGGCTTACATATTTGAGAAGTGTTTGAAACTTTTGCCATGGCTGCAGGACTTACATTCTTTTGTGGGAGGGTGGGGGGAGACAGGGAGTGGTAAAGGGAAAAGGTTAAAAATCCACCTGTGGTTGTGTATTCTTCTTTTCTGTTTATCACTCTTATTACCTAGACTGTGAGAGGCTTTTTGCCTTCAGTCAGATTAAAAAGAGCAGGGCCTAACATTGAGTGACAGCACCTGCTTTTGATAAATAGGTTTTCTTGCTCTTCTTTTTTTTCCTTTTATCCCTCACCCCCTACCCCAAATCGTGCTCAACACAATGGACTAATTCTAGCATTCTGATCATAAGGCCCTCCATTTTCCTAATGTGTTTTAAGAAATCTTTTTAGGAAAAATGTCCAGATTATTCATCCACTTTTTTAGTATCTACTAACAACTCCTTTTTTTCTCTAGAGAGTTATGAAGGAACAGGTTGTCCTTGTCTGGAGTCAAGCTAAACACATGATTTGTTTTATCAGCAGCTGGAGCAGAAGTTGAAAATGTCTTTCTGTGAGACAGTAATTTGCTACTGAAGCTTCATGGCTTATTTGCACTAATTACTCCAGGATCCTAAAACTTGTTGAAAGTCACTGAAACACTCAAGGCAAATTACTTTATAGCATTGAGTGTCCCTCAACATAGTTTGCATAATGAATATGAATTCCATTGGTGTGTGCCATAGGAAATGCTGTAATTATATTTTCTTAAAGTTAAGTATTTGATTCAAAAATATATGTCGTCATTTTTAATCTTGGCATTATGGTGGACAAGTTGACATCATTAAATCTGTCTGTTTAGCTTAGCTTTTCAAATGCATTTTCCCTTGTGCTGTCTTTAACTAGATATACATGTCTATATTTGGTGGATATCATAGACTGTGCAATTGAATGTATGAAATTTTTATATCAGTGCTTTTAATGAAGATATTTTTGGAGTAATGGTGCTGTCTTGTAGCGAGTTATTAATCATAGGAAGATTTTTTTCTCTTCATTTGCTTTTTGTTTCATGTTAACAATTTTTTTTTACACGGACACAACCCTCTGACAGTCTTTTCCAAATATTAAAATCATTTGAATATGTATGCTGTGATCTGAACACTGCCCAAACCATCAAGCAATCTTCATATAGTTTGCATTATAAAATCTCATTAAATTCTCCAAGAAAAATAAATGACAGAGTTTTATTTCCTGACCATGCACCCCCTGGATTCCTGAATTTCAGTTCAGACTGTAGATGACAAGATAAGCTGCCTTTAGAAATTGTCAACATCTGAATGTTAAGTCCATTTTCCCCATGGAAGAAGCCCTTAGTTCCATGAAGTATGGATTACCATTTGTATTTTTCACTAACAGTAAATGTATTTTTCTTATTAATTGTTTGCCTTAGGAATGATGAATTACATTTTTTGTTCCTTCTTACCATAAACATCTGCATTCCTCAGCTCAGCCTTCCTTGTATGTTGTTTCTTTATAAATGGTTGAGCTGCTGATGCAGGTATTGCCAAGCTAACAGTACAAATCATTTTAAAGAGGAAGCTGGCGCGTATGGCAGCCGAGGAGCACACTCTGCAGGACACTGGACAAGACAGTAAATATTCAACTTTTAATGCTGATTAAAGGAGTATAGGTAAAGAATACGTAGGTATACATAATTGGTGAGACAAATATTCACTTTATTTATATTTTATATATTATTTTTTTAATTTGGTAAATACTATCCAGTTTGTAGTTGTCCTTGTTGATTTGTGTGATATTAAAGTATTAGTAATAATTACCAGGAAACTATCATTAGGGAGGGATTAGTCGGTTGCTGTTTGGACTGGGAGGGATGATTTAAATTTAGTGCTAGAAACAAATTTTAGTGGCTGCACAGTTTATCGTTTGTCAGACAGAAGGTAGCTGTAAAGCTACCCTGTAAGTCAGATCAAAAGAGTTCAGAGGAAGATTAGTGAAGATTTATCAGTAAAAGTAAACATTTTATTTTTCTAACATCTTAACATGTCCTCCCCTTTAGGAGGAAGAACGTGCAAAACGTGAGGAGCTAGAGCGAATACTGGAAGAGAATAACCGAAAAATTGCAGAAGCACAAGCCAAACTGGTATGTGGAAGGCATATGTGAAAAATATTTTGTATTGCTTTATTTTTTTCTAATTTTATGGAATGATTTTGTGCTCTATAGTTCACTTATCTTTTAGAGTTTTCAGGGTTATTTTAAGGGATTTGAGGCAAGGGTAGGAATAATTGACTAGGTTTTAGCTGCTGTCTTCCGGAGGAATCTAGTTGGGGACAATCCAGGAATTCTAATTAATCTGGAGAAAATTCCAGAATTTGCAGTAGTTTAAAGCAGTTTTACTGGGGGAAATTATACCATCCTCCACCCCAGTGTTTTCTTTGCTAACCACATTCACACTTCTCCTATGCCTAAAAAACAAATAAAAACAAAAGCTTGAAGGTATTTAAACCAACTAAAATGTAGCATTTCACTTGGCACTAGTTGCCTTCTTACCAATTATTACACGAAATAAGTAGGTAGCATTTATTTGATAATAAGTGTACCAGATTAATAAATACTTTTTCTTATTCTAAATTTATAATCTAGCAAGGAATACAGAGACTTAAATAATTACAATATGATACAGAGATGTAAAAGGCAACACAGCAATTTTTAAATTTTAACAAGCCAGTGTACAAATATTGAGGTAATCTTTTTAAAATAGAAAAAAGTTAATCAGTATCACTTGTATTTTTTCTTTCAAGTCTATTTTTTAGTACTGTTCTGTATTCTGTTTTGTTTTTATTAAGCAAATAACTAGCATTTAAAGTGGAATAAAACTTTCGTTGTTTTAGGGTTTTTTCATTTGAGTGTGAATATATTTTGAAGCAGTCTCAGTATGTGAAGAAGAAAAGTAGAATTAAAGGACCATGGTTATAAAGAATCTGAAAAACAAAGGAGATAGTTAGGCAGTACAAGGAAAAACTTTCTTTTTCCCATGTATGTGGCATATAGGAATTCTTCTTAAAAGTAAGAATATAAATCAGAGGTGGAAGGAAATTTACTTAGGATGAGTGGGGGATTAGTGGTATTTAGTGCCCAGGAATGAAGACATGCCTGAAGAGGAACTCTTGATTTTAGGGATAGCTTGGCCTCCTCTTTAGATTTTAGATATCTAGAAAAGCTTTCTCTGGTTAGAAACGTGTTGAGAATAAAACAGTCATAGGAAAACATTTGCCACTAAATCGTACTGTTGACTGAGGAAGAAAAGCAAATTGTACATTCCAGTTAAATGGTTTAGAAAAAAAAATTCTGTGACTGTATTTATAAAGGTACAGAAAAAGATCTGGAAGGGTCTAAGTAATTAACAGTGGATCCCATTGAGAGTAGGGGTGAAGGAGGACCATAAATATTGTGTCCTATAGTTGATAAGAATGTAAACAGTTAAAACTGTGGGGCACCTGGTTCTAGAGCATGGTCTTTTAAAAGATAGTGTGCCCCACACAAGAGTCGATACTGCAAATATCCTAAGGAACTTAATGAACTTGACACAATGGATTCTTAGTTATCCCTGTTCTGGTTATTGTGAAGTCCGTAATAAAAAGGGAAGACTTAATCCTGCTTTCCCAATGAAAAGACCTTAAAATCTGCTTAGATAGAAAAAGTGATATGAGAGAGAACGGGATGAGGAGTCATTTTAAGATAGATCACTACATGCTCATTAATAAGTATGTAATAATGGTTTTTTAGTTGATTCCATGTAAGGAGAAAATCTCAGTGCAGGTAGGAGGAAGTAAGAAAGTGTGAATCTTAATTTGAGTTTTGGAGTGTGAACTTTGAAGGGTAAATACAGTCTGGTTTGCAAGGCATGGATATTTCCAGAAGGGAGGAACAGTGTAATTGGTATTTAAAACATTGAAGCAAAATTACCAAGCAGGTGGGATAGAATCCTCTTAGGACGTGATAAGAGATTGGATAGTGAGTTCAGTTTGTGGGTGGCCTGGAATGCCAGATTATGACTTCTACAGCAAAACTCCTCAACTTGGTGTGCCCTGCCAAGATCTTGATCCCTTCTGACCCGAGGGGTGGCTGGGTGCTTAGGGATAGCTTGGCCTCCTTAGATTTCTCTAGCAGCCGCCTTTGTTTACCCACGTGAGCCATAAAAATAAAACTCTGTGTGGCATTACTGGGAAAAGATTAGCAAGCATGTTCTAGAACAGTGCTCCTCAAGTGGTGGTAATTGGCCAGTTGCTGTTTTTGTCTTTTAATCCCAGTTTGTCTCAGACCTCTACTTTTGCAAAATACTTTTAAAGTGAATTATTAGAAAAATGAGGTCAAATTGCTGTAAAAGCTTCTAGAACACTTATTCTCGGTTTTTCTGTGTCTTTTGGGGGATCAGTTAGAATTGGCGAACTGTCACTGGTTCATGGGCCATGCTTAGACTAGCGCTGTTCTAAAACATTTGAGTTTGATCTAACGGGCTGTGGTGACACCATTCTGACTGCATGTAACCAATAAAATTTCATTGAAAAGATAGTGGAAAAGGAGCTTGAATTTGAAAAAATTTGGGAAGAATTTGGACATAACTCATTTGCTTCTTGTGTTTGATAAAGTTGGAAGCATAAGAAATTATTGTTGATGTTGGAGAAAATTAATTTTTATTTGGTTCTATTGGGAGTCAGGCTTGCAGAGAAGTGGAGTATGTAGGAGAAGACAAAAAAATGTTACTGTATAAAGATGCAAGGCACATTTTGAGGTTTCTTTCATTTGTGTTTTCCTTTCCTCTTCCTGTCACTTTTGAGCACAGTTCTTTAATCTTTATACACGTTTATTAGGAAATACTGCATGGAATGTATTGAAAGTCCCATTAAAATAATATATATTTGAGAAAGGAAGGGGAATATAATAGATTGTTGTAGACAACATGGGACTTTCCTGGGTATGTCAGCAGTGGTAGTTTATCTTGAACTAAAAGTTCTGTTTGCTTCATGACATAACAAATATGCTAGAGATGTGGACAGGTTCATTGTTCTATATGAAGCAAGAAGAATAGGATGTATCCTTGCTTATAGAAAGTGAGGGAGGAAGAGAGAAGGGCCGAGTTTAGGGGCCAACTATTCACGTAATGTTTACTGAGAAACTATTATGTGTAAAAAGCAATTTGGAGATAAAAATAGACAAGACAGGAGCCAGCCCAGTGGCCTAGTGGTTAAGTTTGCGTGCTCTGCTTCAGCTACCTGGGGTTCGTGGGTTCAGATCCCGGGTGCACACCTACGCGCTGATCATCAAACCGTGCTGTGGAGGCATCCCATATGCAAAATAGAGGAAGATTGGCACAGATGTTAGCTCGGGCAATCTTCCTCCCCGAATGAATGAAAAAGACAAGACATTAAGTTCTTTTAAAGAATTGAATGTGTTAATGCTAGAGACAAGGACAACTCCAAGAAAAGTTAATATTTGGAAAGTGATGTGGACAATGTGAGATAATTGACATAATTGTCTTGGGGTGGCCCAGGAACCTTCCTGGAAGAGATGTCGCTGAGCTGGGCCTTGATGGATAATTAGAAATTGAATTTAGGATAGGGATAAGAGTGTGAAGAAATGAAGCAGGGCAAAGGCCTTTTGGGAAGCAGAGTTAGAATAAAGGCAAGAGTGTATGGGATCTCTCAGGATGGTGGGTAAAGTTGTAGTAGTGGTAGAAGTTGTAGTAGTAGTCCAGCTGTATGTGTACTAAGAAGTTTGTGTGATATTTAATGGGAGATGAAGTTTTGAAAGCTGGTTAAAGAGAGGTTGGAAGAGAAAGTACCCTGGGGGAGATTTCTTAAACATAACCGTGAAAGACTAATACAGTGTCTCTTACAAATCAATAAAGAAGACCAACTCCCTAACAGAAAAAAACTGAGTGAGAAATGTAAAAGAGGTAATTTGCACACACAGAATGAAAAGTAACTGTGGTAAATTCCTGAAGATGTATTCCAACTGCAGTAGGAGAGCAAGGAAATGCCCCACTCTTTTCTTTTTCTCCAATAAGAAATACCAAATTAGACAGAACTTCTTTTTTATTTCATTAGTACCAAGTGTTGGCAAGGATGTGGTAGGAAGAGACTACTTTTTTGTATGGTGATCCTGGGAGTTTAAATGGATAGGGCCACTTTAGAAAATAACAGTAAATCAGTAAATATCAGGAACCTTAAATTAGTTCTGCTTCTAAGAATTTCTCTCATGGAAACTGAATCTGTACAAATAAATTTACATGGAAAAATGTTCTCCATGTTATTTAGAATAGTGAAAATTGCCCAGATTTTTAGATAAATTATAACACATGCATACAGTGTATTTTTCTATAGTCAAAAGTATTTGATAATACAGGAGAAACAGCTAAATACAAAACTTACATATACATTATGATCCTGCTAATTTGAAAAGTATATTTGTACATTTTAGTAGATGGGAAAATATGCCGAAGTGCTAAGAATAGTTTTCTTTAATTAGTAGACTTATATGTACCTTTATACTTTCATCTAGTTTGTACATTTTCTACAAGTAATGTATATCACTCTTACAATCTCATAAAAATAATTAGTAAAAAAAAGTAAATTTAAGCCAAACTTTGACTAACTTTTAAGTAGGTCCTTATGGCAGGAATTCAAAGATTGGTTCCAGTAATGACTATAATAAGGAATGCATTAGCTTAGCCATGTGGGCTCTCATATCTGAAAATAACGTTAAGTGCTCTAGACCAAGGGTATTTTTTGCTCATTCCAATTCCAAATTGTTTATCAAGATATTTGATTTTGTCTGTCCATAAGGAGGCAGAAAATATTAACTGACAAACATAGTTGATTTATTAAATTAAACAAGAATTAATCCTAATGTGGCTTGGCTTGACTTGACTTGTCTTTTTGGCAGATTGGTTGCTAGTTCTTGGGTTAGTATTGGCAATGCACAACTATTATCAAATATTTGAAAGGCTTTTGTCAATACAGTGGAGAATTTTAATTTTCCTTAAAATGTTAAAGATAGTATTTAAAATTTTTTTAATTCTTCTTCACATAGTTTTTTTATGATGTATTTGGGAGAAGCCCAGATATTATTCTGAAATGTAT